TGTTGGAGAGTGGAGGAGGGTGAAAGCTGGTGGAGAGTGGAGGAGGAGGAGGAGGGCGGAAGTTGGTGGAGAGTGGAGGAGGAGGAGGAGGGCGAAAGTTGGTGGAGAGTGGAGGAAGAGGAGGGCGAAAGTTGGCGGAGAGTGGAGGAAGAGGGCAGAGGGTGAAAATGAATTACAATATACATGAAGGATACCCTAAAGATGTTTGTGAAGGTGAATGCTCCCGCGGCCCGGTCCCAGACCAGACCACCTGAAGGATCAAGGCCTGATCAAACAGGCTATTGCTGGTGACTGCACGCAGCCCAACGTACGAACCACAGTCCGGTTGGTCAGGCACTGATTTGAGAAACTTGCCCAATTCCCTCTTGAAGACAGCCAGGAGTTTGTAATTTCCCTTGTGCACGGAGGGAGGGCGTTGAAGAGTCGGGGACCTCTGATACTCGTTGAATTCTCTCGTTACGCCTGGTTGTCTTCAAGAGGGAGCTGGGCAGATACCTAAAGTCGGTGCCGGATCAGCCGGGCTGTGGTTCGTACGTTGGATTGCGTGCGGCCAACAGTAACAGCCTCGTTGATCAGGCCCTGATCCACCGGGAGGCCTGGTCGTGGACCGGGCCGCGGGGGCGTTGATCCTCGGAATACCCTCCAGGTAGGTAGACGCCCCTACTTTTAAGGTGAGGTATTTTACACCGTCTACCAAGTCTCTTGCCATATTGGAGTTGAAGTTTGGGACCAGTCCCTCCAGGATTTTCCAGGTATCATCATTTGCAGATGACACTAAAATAAGCATGAAAGTCAGTGCGGTAGAGGACACTGAAAAAATACAGGAAGACATAAACAGGGTTTTCCAGTGGGCAGTGGAAAACAACATGACGTTCAGTGGTTCCAGCTGCTTAGGTATGGAAAGAAGGAAAACTCAAAAGGAGCACTATATACAAAACTCAAGGACCACGTAAAAGACCTAGGAATAATTATGTCAGCTGACCTTCTGTTAAGGAACATAACAAGACAAAGATCACGACAGCGAGGAAGATGACGGGGTGGATATTGAGAACTTTCAAAACAAGGGAAATAATGCCGATGGTGACACTCTTCAAATCGCTAGTGCTCCCTCACTTAGAATATTGCTCAGTGCTGACGGACCCGTTCAAGGCAGGAGAAATATCGGAGCTGGAACAAATAGAGATCGTTTACGGCTCACATTGAGCCAGTAAAGCACCTAAAGTACTGGGAACGCCTGCAAGTCTTGAACATGTACTCATTGGAGTGGAGGAGAGAGGGGTACATGATAATATATACCTGGAAGGTACTCGAGGGCTTGGTCCCAAATCTGCACACTGCCATAACAACATACCGGAGTGAGAGATATGGGAAGAAGTGTAAAATAAACCCAGTGAGGAGCAGGGGTGCGGTGGGGACAATAAGGGAACACTATCAACATCTGGGGGTCCCAGACTTTTCAGCATCGTACCAGAAGATATCAGAAACACTGCTGGAACAAGTGTAGAAGCCTTCAAGAGGAAACTGGACAAGTATCTTCACCAGGTGCCAGATCAACCCGGCTGTGATGGATGTGGGGCAGCAACATCCTGGTTGACCAGGCAAGCACCAGACGAGCCTGGCCCATGGCTGGGCTCAGAGAGTAGATAAACTCTCGAAACTCTTCAAAGGTATATGTAAATTATTATGTACCTTTATTGCTTACTTTCCAAGGAATACAATTGATGGGACTTCAATCATTCCCAGTAGCTTGGTTGAGTGTATACGGACAGTGAAAGTTCTTTGTGCGTTTTTCGGCTTAGCAATCTCGCCTTAGTGTATCATAATTGGCTCAACATCTCTTGTCTTTAAAGTTTAATTATCCAACCTATCGGTTTTCGTTACGGTAGCCGTGGCAGCATTGTTGTGATCCTTGATTCGAGATCTTCTGACATCATTACCTGCAAGTCTCGCACATAGAATTTTCGTTCTGTTGAATGATTTGAGTTGATCCTGTGCTCCGTTACATTCTTTATTTCCTCCATTCTTACATAGTGAAGCAACTGCAACTTGTCCTCGTTAAACATTTTGTGAAACTCGCTGGAAGACGATTTATATCTGCCTGAAGTTTTGCTATGTCTTCGATGTAGTCGGCAGAGACGCATTATACATTAAGTTCGTGAGTATAATAAATTCAGCAGAGGCGAGTGAGATAACTTAGGGTTTCTGTGAATGCTAATTATAAAACTGAGTACACAGCAGTATAAATAAACAACAATATGCTGATCAAGAAACCAGGATGTAAATAAGGGTGTAAATTAAAACATAAAGACTTAAACCACTTTAAACAGTCAAATAACTTTAATCTTAACAAAGCAAGAGACAGAACAAGATGCAAGACTGTGGAGCCGTCAAGTTGGTTGTCAAGACAAGGCGACCCCGTCCTCGTTGAGCTGACGTGATGAATAAAACCTGAGGTACTGTGTGTATTTGTGGTTGCAGGGGTCGATTCACATCTCTTGGCCTCGCCTCTTCACTGGTCGCTACAAGGTCCACTCTCTCCCTGCTCCATGAGTTTTAGCGTACCTCTTCCTACAGCTTTGTATGGATCCTGCCTCCTCTACATCACTCTCCAGATTGTTCCACTTCCTGACAACTCTGACTGAGGAAATACTTCCTAACATCCCTGTGACTCGTGTGTGTGTGTGTGTGTGTGTGTGCGTGTGCGTGTGCGTGTGCGTGTGCGTGTGCGTGTGCGTGTGTGTGTGTGTGTGTGTGTGTACGTACTCACCTAATTGTGGTTGCAGGGGTCGAGACTCAGCTCCTGGCCCCGCCTCTTCACTGATCGCTACTAGGTCCTCTCCCTCTCTGCTTCCTGATCTTTGTCATACCTCTTTTTAAAACTATGTATGGTTCCTGCCTCCACTACTTCACTTGCTAGGCTATTCCACTTCCTGACGACTCTATGACTGAAGAAATACTTCCTAACGTCCCTGTGACTCGTCTGAGTCTTCAGCTTCCAATTGTGACCCCTTGTTTCTGTGTCCCCTCTCTGGAACATCCTGTCTCTGTCCACCTTGTCTATTCCCCGCAGTATCTTGTATGTCGTTATCATGTCTCCCCTGACCCTTCTGTCCTCCAGTGTCGTCAGTCCTATTTCCCTCAACCTTTCCTCGTACGACATTCCCCTGAGCTCTGGAACTAGCCTTGTTGCAAACCTTTGTACTTTCTCTAACTTCTTGACGTGCTTGACCAGGTGTGGGCTCCAGACTGGTGCTGCATACTCCAGTATGGGCCTAACATACACAGTGTACAGTATCTTGAACGATTCCTTATTAAGGTATCGGAACGCTATTCTCAGGTTTGGCAGGCGCCTGTATGCTGCAGCAGTTATTTGGTTGATGTGTGCCTCCGGTGACGTGCTCGGTGTTATGGTCACCCCAAGATCTTTCTCCCTGAGTGAGGTCTGTAGTCTTTGTCCACCTAGCCTATACTCTGTCTGCGGTCTTCTTTGCCCTCCCCAATCTTCATGACTTTGCATTTGGCAGGGTTGAATTCGAGAAGCCAGTTTCTGGACCACGTGTCCAGCCAGTCCAGATCACTTTGCAGTCCTGCCTGTGCGTGCGTAGTTGGATGAATCTTATTGTGGCTAGCTGGTCTAGTGGCTAATGCGACGGGCTGGAGTTTTGAGACTATGACCGCGGGTTCATCCCGGCCCGGGGTATGGTTTGTGTGTGTGTGTGTGTGTGTGTGTGTGTACAGTATTTGGAGGTATATAATTTTTTGACTGCATTATTTCTGCGTTTAGTGTGTTATTCTCTAGTCACTTATTCTTCTTGACCTCTCTGATACTATAGAAATATTACCTAACATTTGTGCAGGTCACATGTGTTATTAGTGTATGTGCGTCTTTCCATCCCTGCTCTGGTACTGTTCATGGAGAAGCTCTGTTCTTGTCTGCCTGTACTACTGTAGGTATACGGTATGTTGTGCTCGTATCTTTGCTTTTAAAATGTCATTATTTGTTTATGCAGTGTTCGTAGCCTTAGTTCTTTACTTTCTGTACCATATATATTGCAAACCTCTCCACCTCTCACTTGGGACGTTGAAATAGTTGTGGGTTGAACTCTGGTCGATCACATCGTGGTGTTGGGGGTTCAGTTAGCCTGGTAATTGGGTTAAGAACCCTAGATAGCAGGAAGATTTTCCCTTTCATCAGAAATTCCTCATGCCTTATTGTCTATGACTTGGAATGTCTTAGGGTTGGGTTGCAATGCAACAGTCTGGTGGAAGGATGCATGAAGTTGAAATTTTATGATGTTAATTGTTCTTAGGTGATATTGAGGTTAGGTAAGGTTCGTCAGGAAACAGGACGAGTGTCTCCTTACGCGGGTCTTTGTCAGACGATGATCCGCCATTGGAGTTATTGGTCATCTGACCGAGGCCTTCCGCTGGCTTACCGGTCTACCCCTTTAAAAATTATGGTCATAGTTATAATTATTTAGTTTATTCTTTTTAAGGTGATATTTAATCTCCGAGGTTGCACTGTTGATCATTGCAACATGTCAGTGGAAAAGTTTCGCCACACAGTGGCTTCATCAGTCCAGTACAAAGAAGAATAGTGAAGATCAGGAAATAAAAGTAATCAGTCTCAGCCTGGAGTCGACGTAATCAATCCATCAACTGATGGATTGATTACGTCGACTCCAGGCTCAGGGACTGATTACCTCAATCTCTTTCTCATCTTCACTATTCTTCCTTGTATTGGACTGATGAAGCCACTGTGTGGCGAAATTTTTCCACAATAAAGATATCCCAGTGTTGCACAAGTGTAGTTTGTCAGCTTGTCGGTTCTCTTAGGAATTTGAAGGTTACCAAAGTAGTGACAGATCACCCATGAATACTAAGGTTCATTGCTTAACGTGAATACTAAGTATTTTAATCAAATTTCTGGTAGTTGCCGGTGTACATGTAAACATAGCTGGAGTACCAGCGGTGGTGACCACCTTCTTGGCCTCCCACAGGAGTTCCTGCTGGCCATCGACGTGACGAGCGCGGGCACCCCGGAGGAGAAGCTCAAGTGGGCCTTCCGTATGTACGATGTTGATGGTAACGGTGTCATCGATGTCTCTGAGATGACCAAGATCGTCCAGGTGAGTTATCCCTTCACTGGGGGGAGGGGTCCTTCGTACTCACAAGCTTTTCATCCAAGGAATTAGAGGTACCCTCCCATTCCTTGGATCTACTTTGCCTACTATTCTCCAGGCGTTGTATGCCTCTTAATGGTTTGGCGATCGCCATGAATATTATAACAGTGCAGGTAGATTAACTCACCGACATGTGCAGAAACTCATAAATGTTCAAAGGTTTGCAACCTAATTAGTCCCAGAACTGAAGGTATCGTACTTTGAGGAGTGGGTGAAGGAACTTAACCTGACCAGCTTGGCCGGGAGGACTAGGTGTGACATCGTTCAAGATTTTAAGAGGAATTGATAGGTAAGGTAAGGACAAAGTATTTAAATAAAGAGGACCAGGATCAAGGGGGGCGGGTGGAACCTGAAGACACAGGTGAACCATACGGCGCTGCAACGGTGGAAATATTTGGAAAAGGAAGAGTCGTGGAGGGAAATTATCAACACAGTTTTAAGAGTAGATGCAGTAAGACCCCAGAGACAACAGCCCAGTAGGATGAACATCAAAATGGTATACAATACCGACAGGTTGGTAGGTAAGACACATAGGCAACAGTTAGGCAACTTTATTCCGAAACGTTTCGCCTACACAGTAGGCTTCTTCAGTCGAATACAGAAAGTAGGCAGGAACAGTAGAGATGTGAAGACGATGTAATCAGTCCATCACCCTTGAAGTCGAAGAATTTGAGGTTGTCAGTCCCTCGGCCTGGAGAAGTTCAGTTCCATAGTCAGGAACTATCTGAAGATCAAGCGACAGTGCGGAGACTTAAATACTGTCGGAAGGAGAGGTGCAGAGTAGTAGTAGTAGTGAGAATGTAGCCACTGAGAGGTCAGGTCCCTCTCAGATCCAACAGTTCTCACTTGGAAGGGTTGTCTAAGGCGTTTTCTGTACCAAGAGGCCATGTGTTGCAGTGTCTGACAAGATGAACATCAAAATGGTATACAATACCGACAGGTTGGTAGGTAAGGCACAATAGGTAAGTACGTGCTCCATTATAACCCTTTCCCCCATACAACTTTTTACACACACACACGGGGGGGGGGGGAGAACAACATATGGAAAGAGAAAAATAGTAAACAAATACTCAGAATAGATTAAAGGAGGTGAGAGGAGATGGTGGGTGAAGTGTCAAAGAGTGAAGGGAGAGATGAATTTATTCACCGAAAACCTGCACTTAGAGCAGTGGTTCCCAAACTTTTTCAGCTTGTTACCCAATTTAACATGCCACATAAAGCATGTTTCCCCTTTCACAAAATGTTGTTATTATTGATATATATGGCTAAATTAAAACACTTGAGATATTTTCTTTTATTTATTGTATTTGAACATTGTGCATCTCTAATGACTATTACCAAAGATGTCAAGAACATCAGTGGGATGGATGGAGTTGCATACTTGAAGCTAGTTTAGGAATTCTTGGCTTCATACCAGCTTATGTCTACCTCGGCTGATGCTCACAGATAAACTGACAGTGTGAAATAGAGGCAGCCTCAGGAAGTGAGTGACGCATACTGGACAGGTCGATCTGGGCTACTGAGTGACTTTTGTCCTGAAGCATACTTGTCAAAATACTTTTGGGTTTCCACACACTTAGCTATATATTTCTTCTTTTCTAATACTGTATATTAGTTTTTGATGTTTATTGTTATTTGGTTTAACTTTATTACTTACTTATAATAAGTTTACTTTACAACTTTATATACTAAGACAAAGTTAACAATAATCCTCATACCGGGTACTGCATTGTTTTCTTGATTTTCAGAATTCATAACTTTTTTTCTGTCACCCCTCCATTACCCCCCAAAAATGGTTAAATTACCCCCAGGGGGTAATTTACCCCAGTTTGGGAACCACTGACTTAGAGGAAATGTATGACGACGTTTGGCTGCGTTCTGGACGAGAAAAGTAGAGAATGTCAGAAGACTACGGTAGGGGGCTGGGAGAGGGAAGAAAGGAGCGTCAGTAGTAGTAGTAGTAAAGGTAACAGCAATGATAATAGCATCAGTAAAGTTAGTAGCGATAGTAGTAGTTGTAGAAGTAATAGCATAGTGTAGGAGTAGTGTAAGAATTTGCATTAGTAGTGGTATAATAATAGTACAAAAGAGAGAAGCACTGCTGGAGATGTACTGGCCCAGGCCAGGCAGGACTGGTGATAAAGTAAGGAAAGTGTCTACTCCATTTCCTGCTCCTCTTTTCCTCTCCCAAACCTTGGTGAAACTCCCTCTCTTCTTCCCCTCTCTCTCTCTCTTCTTCTCTCCCCCTCCCTCCTCCCCCTTTCTCTCTCTCTCTCTCTTCTCACACACACACAACATACCACTACACACATACAATACACACCACCACACACCACACACCCCACACCCCCACACACACTACACACACTACCACAAACACAAAACCCCAAAAACACGACATACACGCCACACAAACACACACACAAAAATTAAAACACACAAATAACACACCACAAAACACACCATACACACATCATAACCAATAACAACTACCCATACAAACTATCCATCACACATATCATACACACAGCAAATGGGTCCCAATCTTTAAAAAAGGGACAGCATAAAACACAAACTAAAACCGTGCATGAAGTATAGCATGAAAAATCAGGGAAAAAGATTGTCGGGAAAAAATGGTGGAACATCTAAAAAGGAATGATCTCATCCCCAGCCCCAACTGGTTTCAGAGGGGGGAAACCTGCGTCACAAACCTACTGGATTTCTATGACATGGTGACAGCAGTAAGACAAGGAGAGGGGGGTGGGTGGTTTGCATTTTTTTGGGACTGCAAGAAGGCTTTTGACACGTACCACAAGGATTATGCAAAAACGGGGGGACCAAGCAGGGATAACAGGAAGGCACTGAAATGGATCAGGGAATACTTGTGGGGAAAGACAGCACGAGTAATGGTACTGGCGAGGTGTCAGAGGGGCCCTGTGACCAGGGGGCCCCACGGGGGGTCGTCCGGCCAGTGTGTTTTGGTATTTGTGAACGACAGGGACGGAAGGAATAAACTCCGGGGTGTCCCTGTTTGAAGATGAGGGGAAAGTTGATGAAAAGAGTTTTCGATCGAAGCCAGGCAAAATAAAAAGGGTTTGGGACAGGCTGAAACCCGGTCCAGCAACTGGCTCCGGGATTTAAATCCCACCAAGTGCAAAGTCAGGGTTTGGGGAAGGCCAAAAAGACCGCAGAGGGAGTATTTGGGGGGCCAGAGATAAAAACATCACTAAAGGAAAAAAAGATCTTGGGGTGAGTTAACACCGGGCACTCGGGAAAATTTTAAAACAATATGCAGATAATGTGATCCTTTTTGACAACGTTTCACCCACACAGGGGGTTTTTCAAGTCACACACAGATTACCTGGGGGAAGGTCGGGAGTATTTATACCCTTTTCAGAATGTTGAGGTCAGGGGGAATGCTGCATCTGATGATTACCGGGGGGAGTTATAGGTCTTGGGTACTTGGGGGGGAATTTTTTTACAATTGGGAGTAGCCCTTCTGCAGTGTTCTTTTTTCTTATGGGATAGCGATGAATACTCCCGCCCCTCCCACCCCAGGAGACCCCGGTTTTGTGACTTGAAAAAGCCCACTTTTGGGGGTGAAACCTTGTCAAAAAGGATCACATTTTTCCCCAAAAAGTGTTTTTTTTTTTCCCGTGTCGGTATTTGATACCCATTTTTTCCACCAGGCACTCTCCGAAGGCACATCAACCAAATAACTGCCGCAGCATTGGGCGACGGCAAACCTCAAACAGCATCCGACATTTAAATAAGGGTCGTTCAGGCCCCCTGACCCCGTGTATTTTGGCCCCCCATTAGAGTATGGGGCACCAGTTTGGACCCACACCTACCCAAGAGAAAAGAAACTAGGAAAGTGAAAAGGTTTCAACAAACATCCCAAGTTAAGGGGTATGTCCTTGAGGAGGGTTAAGGGAAATCACCTGACACATGGGGGACAGGAAGATGGGGGGGGCTGATAACGACTTAAAAATATAAAGGGGAATTGAAAAAGGTGGACAAAGCGGGATTTTCCCCAAAGACGGACACCAACAGGGGACACAGTTGGGAAGCTAAGCCCAAAATAAATAAAAGGGGTTTAGGAAGTATTTCTTCAGCCACAGAGTAGTCAGGAAGTGGAATATTTTGGGAAGCGATGTAGTGGGGCAGGTCCAAATGTTTAAGCAGGGGACGTTTAAAGTTTGGGTTTGGGAGGTGACCTAGTAGTGACCAGTGAAGAGGGGGCCGGGAGTTGGACTGCCCCTGAAAACCTAAAAAGGTGATCACACACACACAACACACACCACACCACACACACACCACACACCACACACCCACACACACCACACGCTCTCTCTCTCTCTGCTCCTTCTTGCTCTTCTCTTCTTGCTCTCTCTCTCTTGCTCCTCCTCTCTTGCTCTCTCTCGCCTCTTGCTCTCTCTCTCTCTCTTCTCTTGCTCTCTCCCCCCTCTTGCTCTCCTCTCTCTTTGCCTCTCTCTTCTCTCTCTTTTCCTCTTTTTCTCTCTCTTGCTCTCTCTCTTTTGCTCTCTCTTTGCTCTCTCTCTCTCTCTTGCTCCCTTCCCGCTCCCCCTTCTCTCCTGCTCTCTCTCTCTCTGCTCTCTCTCTTGCCTCTCTTCTCTCTTGCTTTTCCTCTTCTTGCTCCTCTCTTGTCTCTCTCTTCCCTCTCTCTCTTGCTCTCTCTCTTCTTTGCTCTCTCTCTCTCTTTCCTCCCCTTCTTCTGCTCTCTCTCTCTTTGCTCCTCTCTCTCTTTTGCTCTTTCTTGCTCTCTCTCTCTCTTGCTCTCTCTCTCTCTTGCTCCCCTTCTCTCTTTGCTCCTCTCTCTCTTGCTCCTCTCGCCCCTTTTGCTCTCTCTCTCTCTCTTGCTCCTTCCCCTTGCTCTTGCTCTCTCCCCTTTTGCCTCTCTCTCTCTTGCCGCTTCTTGCTCTCTC